CCCCCCCGAGAAAGAGGATACTCACCTCTCCTCTCCAGGTTTATTTTTAAACCCACAAGGCTGTATTCCTGGTCGAGCCCAACTTTGTCACATGCTGGAGTCATGCTGAATAAGGGACGTAATGGATCCCACTGTCTGGAGACCAACATGGTTTTGGGAACAAGGCAGGGTTTCGGGGAGTCTTGGCTTTAGTGAAAACCCCATCCTATCCTGAGCCAGGTAAATTTCCCACTGGGGGAATCTGGAGGCAGTAGGACCCTTCTTTAACCCTTCTGCGTTTCCTCTGTGTGTGTGTGTGTGTGTGTGTGTGTGTGTGTGTGTGTGTGTAATGAGAGGTTTTTGTTTTTGTCTTTGCTTTTTATAAGGGCACTTTGTCCAAAGACCCAGCCCTCTTCTTGGGGTGCAGTGACCGGGACCTCTTTCTTCCTAAGGGACTTTGTGTAGAGCCAAATCATGACGTAATGCGTATTCCTGATACGTGTGCACCAACTCTTCTGGTTTTAACGACCACAGCGCCTAACACAACGCCTGGTACCCTAAAAGTTTGTCGGAGGCAAGTCCCGGAGGCCGGGCTGGGTGGGCCAGCCTAGGTGGGCGCCGGGTAGCGCGCGTGCGTAGGGCAGAGCCGCGTCAGTGCTGCTGGCGAGGCCGGGGCGGCGTGCGCGGGGACAGGAGTGCGAGGGCACGCGAAGGTGAACGCACGCACAGGCGAGCGGCAGGGGCCGAGGACGGCGCAGGCTGAGCCTGGCGTCCGTGCGCACTCAGGCGGAGCGAGGCCGCGCGCATCCCGGGCTGGCGTTGGCGCCTGAGGCCGCTCTGGCCGGGGCGATCGCTGTGGCTCTGGCCTCTCCGGCGCGACGGAGACGTCCTGTGGCCGCTAGCAGGAGAGTGAGCAGAGCGAGGCCAGGGAGCCCCGGACTCTCTTGGCTGGGCTGTGCCGGGTGCGGGAAGGCGCCCTGGGCCCAGGGAGGGCGGACCTCTACTCCCCTGGGGAACCATGCTTGAACCAACTGTGAAAACAGGAACAGCAGCAGGTCCAATTCAACCTCCTCTTAGTTACAAATTGGAGCACTGAGTCCACGGGGAAGGAGATTTACTTTCCCAAGTCACGAAGCTATGAAGGGGCAGAGCTGGCACGAGCAACCCAGCCTGCTTCTGGAGGCTTTGTACACCTGCTGTCCCCTCTGAAGTGAAGACTAAGAATAATACAAGTAATTGAGGTAACCTTAGTTACTGGAAATGCGGGTGCTGGTGCCACTTTGGCATTCAGCACCATGGAAACAAGTCCTACGGTGGAAAAACTCAGCCCCGTGTCCTCCCTGAGCTTAAGTTCCACGTTTCTTCATTCATTAAACATTTGCTCTGCAGTTACCTGTGCCAGGTGCTCGCTCTGCTAGAAGCAGAAAGTCTAGAGATAAACAAGCACCACCCCTCCATAGCGGGGCAGAAACGTTCCCAGGCAGCAGTTATGACGAGGGTGTAGGCAGGGGGATGCCTCCAGGGAGCATGTGCTGTGGACACTCAGCAGCTGTCACCCTGGGTGACTGGGGAGAGGCCTTGGTGAAAACATGACATCTGACCTGGATTGGGTTTGGGGTGTTGGGACTTGAACCCAGGACCTTCACCCTGAGCTACAACCGCCCTCTGCATTTTTTTTTTTTTAAATCTTCTATTACAGGGCCCAACTCTGACCTGAATCTTTAAGAGTGGACCATTTGGAGGTATTTGGAAGCGGGCATTTCAGGTAGAAGAGTCATTGTTAGCAAAAATAACAAAAAGCCCAAAGCAACTGCAGCAGCAATAGCAACAACAGCCTCCAGATGAGTGTGAATCACAGTGACTAGTTTAGTTTGCCTAGAATGTAGGGATGAACAGAGGCCAAGATTATAGAAAGGGCAAGATGAGTAGTAGTTTACTCATTGTCTTGTTGCTGGGACAAAATACCTGACACAATTTAAAGGAGGAGAAGTTTATTTTGGCTTACGGTTTCAGAGATTTCAGTCCATGGTCTGATGGCTTCAAGGCAGAAACAGCATGGTGGAAGGCATGGAGAGGATGGTGGAGAGCAGCTGCTCAACCTGTGGTGACCAGGAAGCAGAGAGAGGAGGCTGGGATAAGAATCCCCCTTCCAGTTTACACCCCCAGTGACCCACCTCTTTCCACCAGGCTCTACCTCCTGACAGCATAATCAGCCATGAAATCAGCAATGGATAAATCCACTGATGAGTACAGCATCCCATGATCCAATCACTATTCAGAAGCCCCACCTCTGAACACGTGAGACTTTGGGGAACATGTAAATCTAAACGATAACAAGCAGTCAGTGGTGGGCCTTGGAAGACTCAAAACAGACCATGACAAGGCTGTGGCTGGGGACAGTTAATTTGGCCCAGAATGTGACTCTGAGCTGTACAATCAGTGTTGGACCCAGGGCCTGTGCAGCCCTGAGAGTCTGGGGCTTGGCCAGTCTTGGAACACAGGGCTTCGTGGAAGCAGTATTGTGGATGAAAGAAGCAGCTGAAATAGGAAAGGGTGTGTATAAAATTGGGAGGCTGTTGGACAAGGAGTAGGATGGGATTGCTCGTTTTGGTATTTCAGACTTCCAGTAGTGATCTTAAGAGTACCTGTACCATGTGCTCCTAGATACTCCGTAACACAGGTGGCCTCTTGGACACGAGCGGCAGTTAGCTTGCTCCTGTTTGTGTAGGGAGCATTTATTTCTTTGGATGCATTCTGAGGGCCCAAGATGGAGCTGCAATCAGAATAATCTGTTCTGGCAATTGAAATGGGAAATTTCTTGTACAAAGATTCAAGCCTTACCTTCATACTACTGTATTGTAAGTGATTCATCCAATACTGTGCAAGTGAACTATAAAAATGAAGTATCTTTACCTCAGAGATGACACACAGAGTTTGTAGTGGAGGACTTTATAAATGTATCTTTAACTGATTCTGTGTTATCTCCTACATTAACTATCTGTGCCTCAACGAACTCGGTCCAGGTAAACCAACTTAGTCAAGTTGATCTGTAACGACCATTTGCCTAAGGTCTCAGTCTGGGCACCTTACAGATGCTTAGCCCCAGCTTGACATGCACTGGGCAGGAGAAAAGCAGGGGTCTCCCAGCAAGGCTCCACTTCCCATTATTCCCTGGTTCTCCATGTGAATGTTTATATGAAATATGTATTTGTGTGCTTTTGGACCTCCTCCACCTAATGGATAATTGAGAGGTGGGAAAAGGTGAAATGTTTAGAAGCAATTCCTTTGATGATTTTTAATCTATGGTATCAAGAAGGGCCATGAATTCTGGAGTAAGAAGATAGACCTGAAATTGACTACCAGGCTTGTCACTGACACCTTTATGACTTTAGGTCTGCGACCAAACTCATCTGAGTAAAACAGCGATCATAATAATCAGCTCTTGACTGTTGACAAAAGTCCCACGTGTTATCCTTTTATAGGCACATCCCTCGCGTCCCTTCCTTATCTCCTGACAATCCCCATTTGTTTTTCAGTTTTATGACTTTGTCATTTCAAGAATGTTACACAGTGGAATCACAGACCATGCAACCTTTTGACTTTGTTTTTCTTCCACTCAGTATATTCCTCTTGAGATTCATTCAGGTTTTGCATTTAATAGTTTGTTCCCCTTTTATTCCATGGTATACCTCAGGCAGTGTTTTAATAAACATGTATTAATTGTTCTTATTAATAGGGTTCGGTGTGATATTTCCAGACATGCATACAATTCACCCTGATCAAATCCAACTGCTAATCACCCCCGCCCCCCCCCTTCACAAGTGCTTCCTTCCTCATCTCTAGCAATCACTAGTTTACTTTCATGTTTACCCTTTGAAATTTACACATAGGGGAGAAAACATGCAGTGCGCTGTACTTGTCTTTCTGTGTCTTGCTAATCTTACTTTTTTGCTATTGTTTTATATGTTCTAGATATCAACCCCTTGTCATATGCATAGGGTGCAAATATTTTCTCACATTCTGTACATTGTCTCTTCACTGTGTTGTTTCCTTTCCTTTGCCAAAGCTTTTGAGTTTGATGCAGTTTTTATTGGCCTAGTTTTACTTTTGTTTCCTGTGCTTTTGGTTCTTATGTGTTAGACATCCCATACAGAAAACCATTGCCTGGAGTAGGGAGATGGACCTCAAATTGAATTCAAAGCTTGTCGCCGACTACCTATATGATAGGTATACCTTTAGTCTGCCACTTACCTCATCAGAGTGTCTCAAGGTGTTTTTCCAATGTTTTATTATACTAGATTCGAAATTTCAGGCCTTACATTTGGGTATTTGATTCACTTGCAGTTGACTTTTCATAGGTGAGAGATCAGGGTCAAGTTTCAGTCATCTGCATGTTTTCCCAGCCATGTTTATTGAAAAGGATGTGCTTTGTTTCTCTTCTGAGGATTGCATTGGCTATTCAGGGGTCCTTTGTGTGTCCATGTAAATATTAGCATTTTTTTTCTGGTTCTGAGAAGAATGTCATGCGTATGTTGATAGTGATTGTATTGTATCTGTAAATCACTTTGGGAAGTATGGACATTTTAATGTAACAGTTCTTCCAATCCACTAATATGGGAAGTCTTTCTGGCATTTTGTTTCTTGTCCAATTTCTCTCATCAGTGTTCTGTAATTTTTAGTATACTGGCCTTTTACTTCCTCGGTAAAAACATCTAGTATTTCTGGATATTTTGTGGGTATTGTGAATGAGATTGCTTTCTCAGTTGGTTTGTTACTGGCATATAGAAAAGCTACTGACTTTTATATACTTACTGAATTTATTGTAAGTCCTAATGGTATTTTGCTGGTCTTTCTATATATACAAACATTATCTGCTAATAGGGATAGTTTGACTTCTTCCCTCACTATTTGCATCCCTTTTATTTCTTTCTGTTGCCTGATTGTTCTCTACTAGTACTACATTGAATGAAAGTGGTAAGACTGGACATGCCTTGTTTCATTCCTGATCTAAGAAAACATGCTTTCAGCTTTTTCTCATTCAGTGCCTATGGGTTTGTCATAAATAGCATTTATTAAGCTGAGGTATGGTCCTTCTATATCTAATTTTTTCAGGGCTTTCATCATGAAGAGATGTTGAAATTTACCACATGAGTTTTTTCTACATCTATTCAGATCATTTATGATGATTACCCCCTATTTTGATGTGGTATATTACATCTGTTGATTTGCGTGTGTTGAACCATCCTTGTATCCCTAAAGCGAAACCAACTTGATCATGGTGTGTTAGTTACTTTTCTTGTTACTGAGACAAAATACCCCACATCCAAAGATAAAGGGGAAAAGGTTCATTTGGTTCACAGTTCCTAGAGCTCTCAATCCTTAATCAGCTGGCTCCAAGGCAGGCTGGCAGAGTGGCAACAGTTCATGGCGGATAGACAGTAGTAAAGCAACAAGAAACCTTAAAAAGGGGTCTTTCTACCCCTTTTGTCTTCTTCAGACTACTTAGGATGGGTAGCACTCACACCCTTACTCCTAGTGCCCTCAGGCCTAGCCCCACCATGAATCAGTCACACACTCTACATTCAGCCACCTCTGAAAAAGCATGAGGCGGGGGGGG